AGTAAATAAGGGGAAGACTCCTTTGGCTTTCTTTTAACAGAATCTTCATTGGGTTTTCGATTCTCTTTTGGATCTTTAAATCCAGAATAAAACCTCTTTTCATTGACCTGAGACTTGCGTAAACTTGGCATCGACCGCCACCCATTGCTTTGATTTGTTTTTGTCTCTCTACCAGCCTTGCCTTTCCAGCTTCCACTTCCCAAATCTTGTAGTTCTTCATCAAACAGGTTCACTGGTTGAGCATCCATCTGTTAAACAAGGATTATCAAGTGTTGCATCTTGAAGCATCCACCTAAATTAAACGACAGTGAATGTAAAAGCACCATACTTTTGGATTCTCACTAAATTGAGCACCAAATGTCGACCGAGACCGAGACAGAATTTTCGATCCTATATTCCATTGTCTAGAGGTTTCTTTTGATGCTGTTTCCGCTTGCCTAAACACATCTGAAAGAACTTTACATGTTAGAGACAAACGTTTGCACTCTTCACCTAGAAATAGCAATCAATTCATAGAGAGATAAGCTAGGACAAATACCTGAGCTTTTCGAATGCGAGAGAATCTGACATTTGTCCGGATCCTGCCAAAATCAGGGAAATTCACACACATCAGACTCTGATTCCACTGCACAAATTAAGCTTCAGCAAAACAATGTAGAAAAGAACTAAGAACACTCTCATGGATACTAAAAGCAGAACACAAACGGGTAAATTCCAAAAGCTTTCATTTTGAGTCACAACAATCAACTATTTTCCCCAAACTTCACATTCCTTCCCAATGATCCCCACCCAAAGAAGTGAGACGCGATCAAAAGACAAACCATTTTTGTCCGGCGGAGCAACCTTCGCTGCTTCTCGTACTCGAGGTTTCCGATTCTGGTCCGGATTTTCTCGCCGTTGTCTGGTAACCTGTCACTCAAAGCAGAAAGAATCGATCTTCGACGATTCAGCTCGTCGTCGATTTGGTTATCGTCGAGGGATTGCACGGGGGGAGCGGAATCTTCGCCGGAACAAGTAACCGGAGTTTTGTTACTGCCGATGATTTCCAGTTCCGGCACATCTTCTTCGGCCAAAACATTTTCCCAATCTATGTCGAGCTTCTTCGAATCCACACAATCTAACTCGATTACCTTTTGTCTCTTCATCTCCTCGTCAATAAACAAAGACGAATTAAGAAAACCCTTTTAATTACTTCCTCCTAGATTTCGGTATAGAATTTCCTGGTTTTATCGTTTAAACAAAAAATTCAAAATAAATAAATTTATTATTCTATACCAATTAGATATGAGTGGATCGGCCAACATTTTATATATATATTTCTTTTGTTAAAAAAGCCAATGAAACTATTTTAAAATGAATTTTCGTTAGAAATACAAATACTATCAAAAATAAAATTTTAATCATTCGAGTAAAGG